GAGCAAAAGATTCGTCTAATTTTTCGAGATAATACTCGAGAAGACTCTCACCATCCAATGCTGGTTCGATAGCATTGTGCACTGCCGCTGACACGTTCTCTCCCTCCGCACTAGCTGCCTGGGCAGCTGCCGTGCAGCGGTGGCTGAACCATGCACGAGCATCCTTAACTAACGTATGTAGTTGCTGCTTATGCCAGATGTCGTACATAGTACCTGGTGTAGGAAAGGTGTTGATCAAGTCGAGAGCTTCATCAACGGGCACCTGTCCTTTGTTGAGTCGGAAGCGTGCGCGCAGAGTTTGCATTGCACGCAGCGCCCCCCGCTTGAAGGCAGGGAACTCCTCGTGTCGAAAACGGAGCATGGTGGGCCCCGACCACGAAGAGTCTGCATTCTCCATTTCGGTATCGCTGTACCAAGGGCTGATGGAAGGTGAAGACTGTACGGATCCTCCTGAGGGTTTGCTCATCAGCGTAAGACAGCCAAGGTTCTGGAGTATTTGCGGACTAGGCAGGACAACGGCTCGCCACAGCTGTACCTGCAGCAAATACGGGAGCTCGAGCCGTACATTCGAGACTCATACTCCAGTGCGGTTATCGCGGAGCGCTATGTTGAAGGCCTGGACCCAGCAGTAAGGGAGCGCATCAGAACCAAGTACGAGCTCACCCCACGTGAGGGATGGCATGCTCAACTCAACAGCATTGCAACGGACGCTGAAACAATCTGGATCAACCTGCAGCAAGCCCAGGCCGAGCGGGAACGACATTCCAGCAGCGACCACGCCTCCGGGTCCAAGCAAGCTATTACAAGTGAGAGGGAGAAACGGCTGCGCAAGCAGCCAAGCAAAAGCAGAGACAGCGGCTCCGGCCAGTCTAAGTTCTATTGCAAGCACCACGGCGCCAACAGCTCCCACGACAGCAAGGATTGCCGGGTTCTAAACGGTCGCCCAACAGGAAGTAGCAAGAGTGCCGCAGCTACGGGTTCCCATCAACCTGATGAATTGGCAGCAATGATCACCGCAGCAGTACAGTCTGCATTAGGCGCGAGTCGTGCTGCTATGGTTTCTACATCCGAGCAGCAGGCCCCAGCCACGAAGTATGCTGCCGATCAGCAACGGCGGCAGAACCGAGGTGGCGGAGGCAATGTCAACAATGGAGGTGCCTCCAATAGGCGTCCCCGCATGTATGATGGTCCACCCTGCGAGTATTGTGGGCGGTATGGCCATGATGAGCCAAACTGCCGGGT